ACACTCTTCACGGTCGTGATTTCTGTTGTGTTTTCCTCATGAAATATTAATGAGTTTGACAAAAATTATTATTGTAGTGTCTGATTTTCTCGCGGTATGTCATAAAGAGCTTTAGAAAGAACTGTCTAAGCTATTGGATAAGAATGTAGTCAACAATAGGACTTCACAAAAATGGATAATTTCCCAGAACTGCGAAATCGTAAAAAGAGTTTCCACTTGAACAATAGATATATACAAGTTATCGACGGGACCCTATGACTGAAGAGCTGTTTCAAAACGAGTTGTGCTATACCCTGAATTTTTCTCTCGCATTTATTTAAACACAGACTAGATTATTCCCGTATCTATTTTATGCTTACTTACCCGAATAGCCTCCTAGCTGTATTACCCTTAAATGCAATAACACCCATAAATGTAATACCCACCATAAATGTAATAAAAATCAACCATGAATGTAATAACAGTCAACCATAAGTGTAATTACAGTCAACCATAAATGTGATAATCGACCCCACCATAAATGTAATAAAAATCAACCGTAAATGTAATAACAGCCATAAATGAAATAACAGTCAACCATAAATATAATAATCAAAACCCACCATAAACGTAATAAACAGCCGTTTTAGATACGGATGGAAGTGCAAGGAACGGTTGTTAGCGCAGACTTATCACGTGACTGTGGGATTTGTTTTTTGACAGAGAGAAAATATGATGTAATAGTCCTAAAATAAATAAATAAGTTAGTTTTTTAAACTATTATCGAAATTGCGCGAAACTTTGCTTCCGTTGACGCAGGCTATTCACTTGACCGTGGGATTTGTGAAAAAGTATTATGTACATCCGTATCCAAAACGGCTGCTTACACAGGCTATCACGTGGTATGTTACCCCACCCACTGTGTTTGACGAAACACTCAAACAATGCTGCTCAGACTTGTTTGTTGATTGAACACCTTGTTTGACTCTTCGGAATACTTGGTTATAGCCTAGAACTATAAAAGTTCCGCTTTATTCTTGTAAAGTATTACGCATACTGAAAGTTCAAATAAACGAAGATAATAATAACAATAGAGTGCAAATAAAATAGTTAGGATGAAATAGGAGATAGTTAGCGCTTAATTAGACAAAACATAGAATTTAGTGAGTAACAACTCAATACGCAAATGAATAGATACGAAAATGCGAACATGTCAAATATACAAAGGAAAAGCATGGACAACAAAATATTGTTTCAGTTTTTTTAAGTGTGTTTAAAAATATCTAAAAATGCGCGCTCTTGAGTAGCACACTTGCACTAGTCTACCCGTCACGGCTCGCCTATTTTAACTAATTAGACTTAGGCAACCAAAGGTTAGTAATAAGTTAGCTAGCTATCTATTTCACAGATTTCCACTCTTATAGTGCACTCAACAAGATTACTCGACTCTGATTGGTCGAGAGGAGTACCGAATTAAATCGCTATGTCAACACGGCCAAAACAATGTCAAAACAATTATTTTCTATCATTTTGTACTTAAAAAACATAAAAATAAAATTTTAAAGTCGTAAGGACTAATCTTTTTTATGCATTTCAGTTGCGCGATGGACTGAAAATCGGCGTCGCTTCGCATTTTTTATTGAAATTTTGTTGAGTTGAACTATAAACAAAAAATCGCACGATCTTCTCGTACAATTTGGAATTAATAGACACTCGTAATGTTTTGAAAGTTCTTTAATTACATTCGCCTAAAGGCTCGTGCAATTACAAGAACTTTCAAAACATTACTCGTGTCTATTAATTTCCAAATTGTACTCGAGATCGTGCGATTTCCTATACTACTACTAATGATAATAGTAATAATAATAATACTAATAACGATAACGATAACGACAACGATAATGATAATAATAATAGGAAATTTTGATGATTTACATAAAGGTTATAATAATATCATTGCGATAATCATAATGAAGATATATCAATAAATATGAAGGATAATATCAATATTAATGATGATTACGCTCTTGGAAACACAAAACACACTATTTTTTGTCCCAGTCAATATATGTTAAAGATTGTTTCTTTTAAATCAGCGCACGTCCACTTAGTATGAGCCCTATAATAGCTACTATAACACCAAAACCTATCAGAAAGTAGTCAAGCCCCTTTTGATACCATTCTAGCTCCCCTGACTTCAAGCGGAGATGGAAAAAACAAGGCAAAACAAACACTACACTCATTCCTGTCAGACTACCAACACAGGACATCATGAGTGCGAAGTGGGGTACCATAATGGCAGGCAATAGGGTTATGAAGTTGATCAACACCCGAATACCAACAAACCACAAAATATCATTAAACTTGGAACGACAGGACTCCGGAACAACGGAGTCCTCAACGCAATGGATGATCGTCATGACTCGAAAGGGGTAGGAAAAAAGGACGTTGATTATCAGGAAAGAGTTTACTAGGATGTGAAGCTTACCCTTTGGAAGGCTGTTGGTGATAACCTCGTTTATGTTTGTGCTGAATGTAAAGAGACCCATCACGGAAAACACTATCTTTATCATAAACACAAACGCGTATGTTATTCCCAACATAGCGTTATACTTTGTAGGATCCTTCATACTCGCTTCGATAGCGGGAAGACAAGGATGACATATGTAACTGAATGTTATTATAGCTAAAGATATAGGGGCACCCTTTATATCCCACAGTGCAATAGCACGGATATCCCATTGGAGGCTTTGAGAAAACCCATACCCCAGCACTATGATTATTGCAATGGTTAGCGCTATAAGGCTTATAAGACTAATCCAAGCGACTTGAGAAAGATGCTTAAAGAAAATTGAAGGCAGCCCGACCACTGCAGATATCAACATCCAGGCGTTTAAAGAGAGTACAGGAACCATGGCGTGGATCAAGTGACCGCATAGGACCAGGTACAGTGAGGCTAGAAGGGTTAGCTCGACAACTTGTATTGCAACTACAATGATGCCGCCGTATTTTGGCGATGAAGCTTCGGCCATGTCTCTGTAGTTTCTTCTTATCCTTACCTGCAGGAAAAGAAAGGAATGTAAGAGCACTAGTTAATATTGGTATATATTAGATAATAAATGTTACAGTTTTATATGCAACATGCAACATGCAACATTCAAGATGCAGCATGCAGCTAAACCTTCCCCAAAGCTTTCTGAGAAACACATCTAAACACACCTTTTCGTCTTTGTTGTTTTTGTCATAGAGACACTCAATAAGGATCTTGCCGGTGTAGAAGCACATAAAAGGTACAACGGTCAACATGACTACGGCAAGCCATCCTCCTTCCTTCAGTACATAAGGCAACCCTAGTAGTCCAGTACCCTCGAGATCACTAACGAGATTACATACAGTCTGCCACATTGTTGACTTGTTTGCCTCTTCTTCTGTCGGTTCTTCGTCTATTGATATAGCTTCCGTCTTCTCTTCGGTATACGATGGAGCTTCTTCCTTCGAGCTCAGCAGATGGTAAGCCTTTTCCTCTAAAATTGATTTGGCCATGCTTTGCTGGTTAGCAATTCAGTTTAGTTCTGATTAAAAAAAAAAAAAAAAAGAACAACAATAAATAGGAATGATATACAATTATCAGAGGTTGGGCATAATACATTTAAGTTATTTATTCAAGATCGAGTGCGAGGTGCCGGTTACTAGAGCAATTTTAAAAGGTTTCTCTAGTAGTTTATCCTGTAAGGCCCCGTCCACACGAAAACGATTGCGCTCGTAAACGCGCATATTTTTGTAAACGCATCTGCCCGTCCACACGTAAACGGTCATCGTTTTCACCCGTCCACGCGAAAACGATAAAACGATGGCAAGCATCACGCACCCCAAAACGCGTTTGTACGCCATCTTGGAAACGTACTCGATAAAGGAGACTGGAGTTAACTTATGACGTCAGCGTCCACAGGAGAAAACGTAAACGGCGTTTTCAAAAATATCCACTTTGGAGAGCGTTTTCAAAAATATACGTTTACATTGAGCGTTTTTATCGTTTTCGTGTGGACGAATGGCTTCGAATTCGGGAAATTATTGTTTATCAAATTTTTCTTTTCATTAAAACCGAAAGAAAACCGTTAACACCTAAAATATGTCTGGAATGTTAAGCATCGCGTTCTGACCAATCACATGCGAAAATTGATTAGAAATGAAGTCATTCTCGCATGCGATTGGTCAGAACACAATGTTAACATTCCAGACACATTTTAGGTGCTTCATGGCTTTTTTATTCTCCTCCCCAGCCGTCACAAGTTTCGGTCCCAGATGCTCAGAGTGGCCGTTGGATCTGGGACCGAAACTAATGACGGCCGCAAAGGATACTACGGTTTTCTTAGTTTGACTGTAATAATTCTATTTATTATATAATTACCAATGAAATATCTATTTTTCTCTATTTCGAAAAATTGATATCTTCTCACGTGAAAATAACATGTTATTTTCACGTGTGAAAATAACACCATTGCGATGGCTATTCGAAAATACACGAAAAGAATTGCCTGAAAAAGCCAAAACATACTTTCTTGATAATTATATAATAAACAGAATATTACATGGGCGCTTGGAGATACGAAATTTATCTTCGAGTGTTGAAAATCTCTCACTCGTTCGCTGCGCTCACTTGTGAGAGATCTTTTCAACACTCGAAGATAAATTTCGTATCTCCGCGCGCCCATGTAATATCCTCTATATATTCAATGAATCATGTTTAATTTGAAAATATAAATAAATGGATCATAGTTAATTTTTTCCCCCAGAAGTGTTATTGTCACAAGTGTCGTTTTCTTAACGCATAAAGGCTCCAAATTTGTGTAAAAATTAAAATCATAAAAAATATCCAAATTCCAGCAGTCCTTCGAACTCCATTAAAGATTTTAACAAGGTGGGTAGGCATTAACTAAAGAGATCGAATTACGTTTGCTTAGTTAAGGTAGAAAAGTCGATAAATCTTAAAGCTTCATTTTTAAAACGGTATAAGACGGCTTATCTTTGCTCAGGATTGCTCTCAGAATTTCTTGCGTCTTCATAGATTCCTTGGTAAATCTATACTTTTTAATTTTAATTTACGAGTGAGCTAGAATTTGAATACAGTAAATACAAGATCGGTCCCAAGCGAAGGTCAATATTGTTTTACATATCTATTTTAATCCTTCTATCATTATTAATAACGAAAAAATCAAAACTCAAATAAACTTATGTGTACCTAGTATTTAATTGCAAAATTTTTTAAAGCCAAAATACCTTTTAAATAATAAAGCATCAATTGATCAGAATCGGAATCTTATAAAATGATTTAAAAGTCGAAGCCAGGAGGAACAGTGTTATTTCCATTCGTGACGTTTGAGCTCTCTGATTTTCGAAATGGTGGCGAGTTTGAAGAAGGATAGCTGACGGCTAAGAAGGTCAACATATTCTTATTACGACGATTATATATATATATCTTTATTTTTCTATATTTAGCAATCAAAACAAATTTTTAGGTATTGTAGAATATGTTTTACGAGTTGTCATACGGATACCTTGGAGAAAGGCTATCATGGTTTTAGGAGCTGGAACTTGAAAGATAGCGGAATGCCGTGTAAAGTTTTAAGTGGAAGCCGAGCTTCAATGTAGAATTTTAAGACAAAGAACACATCAAGAATCAACCCCAAAATAGAAGCTTTTATAAAGACGACATCAAGCATTACCGGCATGCTACTCTTCAAGGAAATCTGAAAGTCCATATCTTTCCCTTTAAAGCTTTTATGAAGCCCGAAGTACACCAAGGCTGTGTTGTAATATAAATGGGCTATCAACATGTGATTTCAATAGAAATAACAATGCAGCGTTTTCGTTATTAGACATTTAAATAACAGATTATTAATTGGCCTACGACTTTAATTATCGTTCATTTTTTAGGGCTTTGGAGCTACTGAGATTGGCATAATTTATTCTAGGTATATTAAGTAGTTTTATGCCATTCTGCATCTATCCTGAGTATTGAGGATATTATGACATAAATAAAAATGGCTGCATAAACAAAGTAAAATAAAAAAATAAAATGAAAAAACTCGAATATGTTGAATATAACTTGAATTTAGCCCGTTTTAAGGATTTTTTCCCCATTCAAAAAATAACCACACAGAGCAAAAGAAGTGCTGGTTTGCAATGATCGGGTAAATTTTCGAGGCTTTATTTCACGTTTCAATGATTTTGTTGAAATTTTTGATGAATCCCCATAAATTTCCTTATAACATGACACCACAGAAACCAAGCTTGAGCTACCTGTGAGTATACAAAGAGGATAATAACCTATGATATTTTTGACTTGGTTTTCTGTGATATTTAAATCGCGCATCTTCTTCAGTATATTTTATTTATTCTTATGCTAAAGACGATCCGTGATCAGAGATCGAAAACAAAAACAAAAAACAAAAAACAAAACAAAAGCAAAAACACCTCTTGACTGCATTTCAAAGGTGTCTTAAAGAAATACAAACCCACGCACCTTAACCTTGTTCTATAAGCAATCTTCATATACACCAGCTTCACTTGTTGCAGTTTTCTCTTTTACTTCAGTTTTTTTTAGGTGTTTTGTTGTCCGAGATCTGAAATATAGAATATATCTGAGACCGAGTAGTAGGCTTACAATTAAAATATATGCACAGCCGAAAATTAGATTGGAATATGAAACTTGAATTTTCAGTTTTAAATATTGTTTTTTGGATTTTTTAACCAGAAAACATAAAAGCACAAAATTTCAGACAACTTAAAAAAAAAAAAAAAAAAAAAAAAAAAAAAAAAAAAAAAA